AATTTGGCGTTCCAACACACAACACAGCTAAGTTCATATTATGAGATAGCATATCGTGTTGTCACCCCCCCCCCCCAAAAAAAGAAAAGAACTAGCCCCCTCCAAAAAAAGCAAAATCAACAACAAACAAACTGATAGTAATTGAAATTTTTCACCATTCCCTTTATTCATATTCCCAATAGATTTCAATTCTGTAATGAATTTTTAAGCTGTCAAGGAGGTATTATTTAATTACTGTTTTCAGGACTTTTACATTTATTATTCACGTTATGTACTCGCACTATATTATTACAGTGTCAATGCATGTTACTAGGAATCTAACAATCTAACAATATTTGTTATAAAAACCATTTAACGGGACTCAATATAATGTGAACATATACTGAATACAGTGTCAATTACTGTAATTACATGAAAAAGGAAGGCATTTTATGACAATGACCTTGAAAGTGTTTTATGTTTACAATGCAATTATTCCGATATCGATGCAATTTTTAAAAAGGCGTATTCATTTACAGCCCATTAAATTATTTATTACCAAAGAAAATTTGAAAGTTCTAAATATAACTTTCCTTTTATGAGAAAAAAATTGCCAAGACACGCTAAAGAACACTAAAAACAGTGCTGACATTTCAATATTTTGATGACTTGTATGTGCTGGAAATGAACGACTGACAAATAGTCAACGCGGTAAGGTAGGTATAGTCCTACGTTATCAGCGAAAATTGCGCGGAAATTATCTACCACGTCATAGAAAACAATACTTTTGACTTTTAAATCACATTTTTTTTATACAATGACCCACTTTTTATCGTGTTTATTGTTATCTACGTATCAAAGTCTATTGAAAGCCTATTGATGGCGGGAAACTTTTATTTTGATGAACAATCATTCGTTTTTTCTACAGATAAAGTATCAACATATTAATATTTATAAGTTAATTGGAGAACGTTGGGAAAATTGTATAAAAGTGTACTCGGTTTTTTTTTTTATTAAATTGACAATATCCACAAAAGCGTTTCCGAATTAGCTTAATTATTGATCTGTGATCTGGGTGCCTAATGACACTTTGTTTGAAAACGAGGAGAATTATTACTTCATGTAATACAAAAAAAATATATGTTTTGCACCGATGAAGGCATACAGCCGAAGCGTATGCAGTAATAATTACTGAATGTTTGTGTGGCATATCTGTTTATTTTACTTCATAACATAGCATTTTTGATACAATGAAATACAAATTCTGTATTCTGTATATTATTTGTATGTTAAATTGATTGTCCGATACAAGTACTTTGTATTTATCAATACTCGCCTATAAATCATATTTAACATTAATATTAAATATGTATCATTTGTCCGTATCGATCAAAACCGTATGCATAGGAAAACATTATTACTACAACATGTACTATTGAAACAATAGTATTTCCATCATTTTCACTTTATTATTGTCCGTTGATTATATACATGCACATTCGAGTCCGAAAGAAGTATCGAAACAAGGCATTGCGGCTCGTGGATAAGTTCGTTCTCATTTTCTGCCTAATTTTGAATAGTATCTTTGACAATATGTATTTCTTATAGTTACGTTTATTTTCGCCGCATAATCAAAAGCTAAAGATACAAAGAATTTTGAAAAAAAAAACAATATTTATTTACTTAAAAGCTGGTAATTCATTTTAGTATTCTAATCAAATGTGCGTGTTTATACTATATTGCACACCACACTGCTTAACAACAGGATTAAACAATTTCCATCTCGAAAATAGTAATTTGCGTAATGTAAAAGAGTGTAATCTATGTAATAATTACAGTATTTATATATATTTTCATATAGTTCAATTTTTGATACTATACAGTACACACGTATTGTGATTTTTTGCTCGATTGTGTGCACATTATACATGTAATAACCCCTGATGAAGGCATAATACGCCGAAAATACTTGGGTATTTATACTTTAGCACTGTATGAACGTTTATTTTCACCAAAATTATTGTTATTTTTTTTCCACGTTCTTGTATCCTTCTTGGGATCCAGTGTTTTTGAAAGGTACTTTGTAGCTGCAAATATTTTTCACAAACCTATATATATATATAGGATCTGATAGGAATTGACATTTGATATGAACGATTATGAACGCGTTCAGGAAATTATTCTTATGCGTTCTTCTGACGAGCTTGCCTAGTTTAATCACAATTCTTTTTGCTGGACGATGTTGTATTTTGTATCAAACGAGATAAAGCCGCATTATTTATCACATGACTGGATTTTGCAAATTATATCCGGTTAGAGATTTGTACCGGTTAGAGATTTGTAGAATACTTTACCTGTATATATGGATTTCAACCAACAATCACCGGAAATTTACGAACTGGCAAGGCCGCTTATACGTTTTTCCATAGTATTACATTATCAACTTTATCAACAGTTTTTCACACACACATGCATATGCACGCACTCGCAAAAGTACACGCAGAAGCACACTCACACGCGCACACACACCAACACACACACCAACACACACACACACACACACACACACACGCAGAGTAAAATATGATAATAATTCGTGTTGAATGTTACTTTGTAAATAAATTTAAAGGCATTTAAGACACTAAATTTCATACCACTGACATGTTACTTGACTCACGTATGGCGATTACATGCTAATATTTATTTTATCTTTCAAAGTCATAATATAGATGTATAATTAATATCAGTATGGTTCCATACATACAATTTATTTACGACCAAGTGGTTCACTCTATCTTTATTTATGTTTTATTGTATTTTGGTCTGCAGTTTAGACTCCACTTATTCTCCCAGACTCTAATAAAAGTGTGGACCAATTACATTTCCTATTTAATTTTTACAAGTATGCTGGTTGCTTCCTCCAAACAAGTTTTTTTCCAGTTATGTTACCTCCCTTAGCAGACGCCATTTTTATGAATAAGGTTATCGTGAAATATAGACTTACATGCAAAATTTGACTGGTTTACTGTATACATCTGTATTATGAATTTCCTTGTGAGTTCGAGTATGCTATACATTTTTTTAGTGATTTCCCTTTCACTTTGCTACATAAATTTTTATGTCGCGATGTTATATATTTCAAGTATTCAATTCTACAGCTTAGTATTGCACTGTTACCTAATTATTTAACTAATTATGTTTGTTTTTAATCAACTGTTCTAAGGCCTTTCGGAATAAGAAATGCAAATGTATGTGGTCCAGCCGATGTTAGGCGACATATACCTGGAAGAGGATGGCAAATATCCTACTAATTTACTGGACTACTTTTCTTACGGCCGAAAAATTGTATTTAAGTGCTTATCATACGGCCGATATAACTCCCGGTATACAGAGTGTCTGTTTATACTTTTCCGAATAAGATTATAGAACAAAATGTAAAAAACGGCTGATAAAGTTTTGGAAGCCAGAACTAAGACTGATTATGTCGATTTCGACAATTGTGGGAGAACTGATTATAACATATCGTTTATTTTATCATCGAGATATTTGGCAAATATGATGACATTATGTCTGTTGCGTCTTTTAGACATTTGATAAAATTAATCTTTTATCCAATAGAAATTATCATTTTTAATGATGCGAGTGAAACTGATAAGTTGTCCATTCTGCGCAAATACATAAATAAAGTGTTTTTGCATACAAACACAACACACACAAAGGGAGAGAAGAAGATGCTTTAATCAAGTAAATTAAATAATATACAAGTACAGTATTTAAAACAAAACCCAAAAATACAAGAAAACAAAGAAAACCCATAAATACATTCATAAGGTAACCTGACAAAAACATCAATTTTCATTTTTACGAATAATGAAAGTAAGAAACAGGAAAATAATATAATAAAATTGAATCAGACGAGGATTTGTTGTAAACAAAATTGAAATTCATCAAAGTTTAAATTGTTACTCATTATTTTTGTTCAATTTCTTGCATCAATTTCTTGAATTACCCCGGTACTACTTATATGAGAAAGAAATAACAATAAGGTTCTTAACAAACAAATAGTAAAGAACAAGATGTTAAAACTAAATGGCTGTACTCAAATTTATAGGAAAAACAATAAAAAGTGATAGTATGCGAGTTTTACATTTCGGGCGGTGTGTCATCAGATAAGAGTTTCCGACTCTTTTGAATATTTAGATGATTTCCAACAATTTCCAGATTTTGATTTCTAAAAACAACTACTACTGAAACATATATTTTTCTGTCTAAACAATTTATTTATATGGGTGTATATGGGTGTACAACACATTTACAGCACATTATAAGTATTCATTAAACAAATGTAAAGTTCTACCCAACCTGCTTTGGCTTTAATGTTATAAATGTATCAGCAAAATAGAGGCAAAAGCAAATGTGAAGGCATAAAAGTATTTCCCAGCTAAGTGCATTATGTTATTTGTGCCAAAGAAGTGGACAGCATAGTAAATGTATAGACATACAAGTTTTCCCAACTTAACGCGTTTTGTCATATGTACCAACAAAATGTTAAACATGTTTAGGTATGATAAATTGTTTCCCAAGTTCGTGCATTTTATTTTTGTGTCAGAAAAAAATGAGGGCAGAAATTTATAGTCGTAGTTGTACCATTATTTTATTTGAGCCGTGGGAAGGAATGGAATTTTCAATGAGAGTTTTTTTCATAGATGTATTTTGCTACTTTTTTGCAAAGCAAATGCATTGTAAATGCATATTTTTTTTTTAAAAAACTTTGTACATTAAATCATTTATGCCATCAAACTGTAGTGCATAATCAGCATTACCTTCAAAAAGAAAGTAATCAGTAATGTATAGGTATATTTTCAGTTACAAACTAAACATTATGTAAGTTATGTTAGTTAAGGAAGGTCTTAGAAAATTTATGTTTTAAAATCTAAACATTTTTTTAAATCATGTTATTTGTGGTGTCGACCAAGTGATGGTATAATCAGAAAAAAAGGATACCGTATATTTTTAGACACGAATGTACCCAACTTTGTACAACATGTTATCTATCTTACTAATTAGGGCATAACCCTCAAAAGGAAGGATATACGTATATGGACAAAATAAATATATATGAACATTGATAAGATTTGATAATCGGATGCAATTGTTCAAAGATTTTCTTCCGGTTGCCATCTTATATGTTTTCTTTTCATTATCAATAATTGAGCCCTTCTATATATCTGAAAAATAGAGGAGAAAATTTTAATGCCGATATGTTATATCCTAAAACGGCCTGGGTGACGTGTTCCTCATTCAAAAATGAAAATATTTTGAATATGATTGGCAGTAATGTAAAAAGTTATACATTTTTGTTTAATCATTATTTGTCACATTTTGTTATATCATTATTTGTCAAATTTTGTTATATCATTATTTGTCAAATTTTGTAATATCATTATTTTTCAGTCATTAAACATTATTAAAAAATCTACTTTACATACAGACTACAGAATTTTCATTTGAAAACTTTTACGTAAAGTAGTGTTAGTACATGAAACTACATACCAAAGCGAAAACCTAATGCAGCACCGAATATGTCATCCAAAGTGTTGTAGCCATTGATAGCATATCCACCACAGCCTCCCATGTGCATCTCAAACTGGTAGAAGTACTTACACGGAATATAATTCGGAGCTTGGTTAGCAGCATCTCCAATCCAGTATCTCATCAATTGTGTATAGCAGCAGCTCATGTAATAGCCTGTTGGATCGTTATTGTTAGGGTTAACAAAGAATGCCAGATAGCTATTAGGATTTCCATCACAATTTGAGAACGTGAAGTCGTGTCCGTTTGCTCGGTATCCCTGTGTAGTTTGGCTTGATGCGATAGACGTTGGTAAGAAGCCGAGATACAAATAAGGACCCATTGTTGCGCTGTTTAATGGTGTTGCATAATCAACATTTGTATTGTACTGGATACTAAGATTCAATGAAGAATAAGTATTGATCTGTTCCATTGTAGTATCATACTGATGTCCATTTGAACGCAAGTGTCTTACCAACACTTCAGTATAATACGACCGAAGGCGGTTCAGGTCAGCCTTCCCAGCATCTTCTTTTAATATAAATGTGAAGCCATAACTTGCGTGGAATTCGCAGTACACTTTGTATGGCTCGTCTTGGCTATTGTAGATTACATATTCCCCATTTACTCTGTCCTCGGGTTGCAAATCGTCACAACCGCTGAACGCTATAAAACAGAAAATGAATCACATGATTATTTTTCTTTTATACTAAATTCTGATTGAAATTTGTATTTAATTTCTTTAAAAAATTACTGAATAGATTTTTAAGGTTAAATTTAGACAAAAAAGCAAGGTTTTTGCCAAATGACATTTACAAAGATACATTAAAACTAGTTTTCCAGAAACCGACCAGAAAGCCTCTTATAATCTTCATGAAATTTTTTTTTAAACGACTTTGGCTGAAATTTGTAAGTTACGTAAAAATGAAAAAGGTAGTACGGTAAAGGAGTATTTCACTGAATGTTTAAAACTTCTGCCTGACATTTTTTATTAATTATTTAAAGATAAGTAAAAAAAAGATCCGATAGATAGGTGCTCAAAATCCATGTAAGGTTTCAACCGTAGATAAGTTATGGCCAACACATAAGATTAAATACATGATTTATGCATGGGTTGTTAATCCTCTGCAATTTGAATTGCATTTTAAAGTTAAGCTCAAAATGACAGAAAGTTTGGATTAAAGATTTGGATTAACGACGTACCTATTTCACAGTTCCCTCCACTAAACCCAGGCAAACATGTGCAATTGTAGTAATTGATCCCGTCATTACATGTACCTCCATACAAACATGGTGAACTAGCACAATCATCAATATCTTAATTAAAAATATACTGTGCTCAAATTTGATATTAGAAAATAAAAACAATTGCTAAAAAGTCTCTTTGCAAATGTAAAATAAAATAGTCATGCTTTGACACCAACTCTCTCAAAACTATACTTATTCCTAAAGTGTTACCATCTTCACTTATTTGACTCAATTGTATCATACTTCTAAGATGTTGGAAGCAATCATATATCAATATATCTATCCAGCTAGCTTACGCAACATCGGGTGTTCTACTCCTCTACAAAAATGCATGGAAGTGCACGAGAGGTCTTCCTCAACCAGTAAAGCTCAAATGTCACCATATGACATATACTTTGTCGATGTGTGGTAAAACCCAATGGATAATATCAATATATAAAGTACAAAGATTTTGGTAAAACGGATGTTTACTTGTTTCACAGTTGCAGCCAGTAAAACCCGATTCGGAACAGTTACATTGCGTCACCATGCCGTGAAGGCCCCCTTGAATGTAACATTGATTCAAGTCAGCACATGAACCTAAAACATGTAAAAAGATCCCATTTATAAAATTGTTGTAATAAAATTATTCATTGGTAGTAATGAAACTACCACCTAGAATGCAATCAATTTCAATATCAAGTTTATTTTTAAGACTGGTTGTGTATTTCTGAAATTCTTAATAGCTGTTTTAAAAGGGAGTCATAGAAAAATTGAGAACCGAACTATGTCATCTTTTCGATATAAATCACTTATGGAAAGTGACGGAAGTTTGCCGACGCTTATAGGTATACAATGATTGATTGTTTTCTAATGGCCATGATTTTCTAGAAAATAAAATGAATAAATAAAATAAACGAATAAATTACAAATAATGAATCAAAATAAAAAAGGAGAAACAGGCAAAACATTCGATAATTTACAATAATATTTTAAGAAACGCTAAATATACATGAAGATAAAAAGATACAAAGTAAATATCATTTTTGGAAAATTTTGAAGATATTACTGATTGTTTAAAATGTTCGACGTATTTAACTTACAAGGGTAACACTTTTTTTGGGCAGGTTGTTTTGCTTTTCCGAATCCCGGAGGCAAACATGCACTTCCGGCAGGACACTGCAATAAAAATTCTGAACTGCTATTACACATATTCCATTTTGTTGAATTGTTGAATCATATCCTATAATTTACATCTATAATATCTGTGCTATATCATTTGATTATCTGATTTTTCACAGTGATCTTTGAATGTTATAAGAACTACTAACAAAAAGATTTTCTACTCAATCGACCGAACATCCTTTGAACGTTTTAGGTTCCATAATATCGGCCGTATGAGCACATCTGCGGATGTTTCCACAACTAAAATTTCACCATTTTCAGTTTAAATGTTGAATTTTGCCTAAGCCGGTGCTATTTGGCGTAAACGTTAATCTGCACTTTCCAGTACCGTCCACGGGCTCAAATCAAGCCTGCAACATTTTCAATTGTGTCATTTTCGGCGTTCTTGAGGGATTCTGTTTTTCTCCATTTAAATAGTTGTCTGGATATCTATCACGAACAGTTTTCATCTTTAATGTAACCTTGACCCTTGAAATCTTATATTTAAGACATTTTTAAGCTATGCTTTGAATAGTTTTCTGGTTTCTAGGCGGATGATGTTTCTAGCCAGAAAAGTCAATGTTAACTGCATTTGAATTTAAACTTAGCTCACTTGAGTACAATGTAATCAATAGGGGCTTTTGCTAGTTGTACTGATAAAATGGTTAATTTCAAATATTTGGTCTTAAACTAGATCATTTGGTCAAATGAAGGAAAAACTTTGTTCATTCTCTTCATATCACATTTTATATTCTATGTATGGATGATATACTGGTAAAGTTTAAATATGGCTGTCGAAGAATTAGGTCACTGGGCAAATCAAAGACATTTTCCTTATCAAGCTAAAGGTCAGTGTTTGATCATAACTAGGCCTATGCAAAACAATGCAATCGGTATTATAATTGCTTTGTTTGAGTTATATATATTACTTTGCCTTTGCTATGAAAGAATAAAGGAACACTTACATCCAAATGTTCATCACAGTTCAGCGTGCCTTCTGTTGTTTTGATAAAGGTTGAAAGCAACACATACACCTGGCATGAACAAACAACATTGTTAATTAAAAATTCATTAAATATATGCTATACTCATTTTTGTGTAAAATATTTTTATCGTACATGTTGACTAAAATCTATGAAATTCTTACTTAATATGTCTTAATTGAATAAAAAATATACAATCTATTTTTGGGAAGCTACATTCCCTTTTACGGGTCAAGTAATAACCCTTCAAAATTATATTAAATATTGTTTTTAATTCAGATCAAATGATATAACCTAAAGTGAACTTTGTCTTCCTTTTTTGGTAGATAATACAAGTATGAGTGAAGTATATGCAATGAAATTTTTTCTTATGTATGGATGCTTGAGGAAAATTAAGACATTCAAGGTGATTAACTATTATTTTATTAAGTTGAATTAGGATAATGCAGAGGGGGTGAATTTAAAGGGGGATACTTAAAGAATATAAAATTGTTATCATCAGTGTAAAGTATTTATGTAACTAGCATCTTACCACAACATTGTATTTTAACATCGACATCCTCGACAGATTAAAATATCTAAAGAAAGCAGAATGGTGAATATACAATTGAATATTTCGTCTGAAAAGTAAAGAATGAACACAAAAAACATTAACAACAAACAAATGATGATTGTAGTCCAAAGTTTAGGTGTCTGCCTCTCAACCAAATTTCATTGGTGCAAGCCCTACTTGAGTCACGATCATATTATTGTGACACCTTTTTTCAGGATTTGGACTCGGTAAATGATGATTGTAAGTTGAAAGATCTTTTTTCGGAGACGAGTTTAAAAAAATTTCTTCACATCTTAATATTGAATATATCGCTTAATTTTATTTTTAACTCATATTTTTTTTTCAATATTGAGAAAGTGTTATCAAAGATATTATTTCCATTCTCGACAAAAGAGACTTGCGTGACCAAGTGGTTAAGGTCATTATCTTCGAGTCGCTCGTCTCTCTTATCGCTGTGAGATTCAACTCACCTAAAGTTTGTGAACTCTTGTTGAGAAAGCTATCCAACTTGTTTACTGAACATCACTTGTTTTATACAGGTGCTTAACTAAGTGCAGTCCTCAAGTTTTTTTTTATCATTTATTTCCAGTCCTATAAGATTTATCAATCAATCTGTGGGTAATAACCATTAGGTTTGAACACCATTTATCCTTGAACCGAGTGCGTTGTATGTTTGCGACAATCCGTTTGCAAGAAACCGATTATCAGACACAATTTCTGATATCGTTATTTTAATGCATCATTTAAATTTTAAATGTGATGTATTCCGTGCATTCGACTATATTGTTCGTAAAATAAAGCGTGTAAAAGAACGGAGTTTGTTGTCGGATCATCAAGATTGAATATTATTGATGAAATGTAACTTTATGTGATGATAAAAATTGCCAAGAAATTATTTAAGTACTCTCTATGATAATATTATATATCTTGCGAAGAAATTATTTAAGTGATCAGAATCAATCTTTTAGGAATTATTCTTCCTAGAACATTATAAAGATGTATATATAATCACCAAATGATAGAATGTGATGAAGTAGCTTCGGTTTAAATGATTCTGTCCGTCCAAATTAATTTTAAGTATTTAACAGCGTCGAAGCTTCGCTGAGGGACACTAAGACAGATAATGAAGATAATAATTAAACATTTGCGGATTAAATAGATAAAAAATTTAAAAAAGATACTTTATTGTTACATGTTAATAATGTTATATTTCCAGAAGGATAACTTCCTATTAAGACAGTAAAACAGACTTAAAGGGACCAGAAGGCTCAGTCCTACATCACTTAACAGGTTCGTGTAAATATGGGTTCAGACAATCCTGCGGAAAGCAATGCTGTCACAAAAAGTTGCTTATTTATATAATCATGTCGATGTGGTAAAATAATGGTGAAATATGATTTATAACTGACAAGCATGCTCAGATTTATTCAAATGAAACATTATTATTACACGGAAGTTCCATAATCACCGTTGAGTGAATACACAGATTGAACGGAGTTCTAAATCATCAATTTCATAAGCCTGAGCTAGTAACATGAACTGCATTGGTTAATACATGCTACCATCCATGACCAAAATCAAAACGGACCGGCATGGTTTTGTATGTCACTGAATGACATGAAAGGATCTGCTTTTATTTACTTCATTTTGTATTTGTTTATTAAAATTTAAAGTTTAAGAAGACATCGTTCTCGGAAAAATTTGTAAGATAACAACTTTTGAATCTCTTTTTTGAATCTTAGAATACGAAGAATAAACAAAAATTAGTGATAGCTTCTTGTTGTCATTTTTATTTCAAATTTTAGCACCGAATTTTTAAATTTTAATTGTGAAACAATTATATAGATACGAGGGGTGATCCAAAAATTCGTGGACACCGTGCATAAAACAAAAAGTAATGAAGCAAATTACAAAAAATTCTAGTATCTTATTAAGTGAGTATATGTCGGCAAATTCTCAAAATATTGTAAAGATTGTACAAGAATTAACGATTCTGCACCAGTTTATATACATAGACATGACAAAACGCAGCGCAGCTCATGACGTCACAAACGACATTATGCTATCATAGGAAGTAATCTACGTTACCGTTTTGCCTTATAACTTTTCAAAGTATTCCCCTTTAACCCGCACACATTTTCATGACCAAGTCTCTAAATGTATTCGCATACCATTCCTGGCTGAATGATGACAGTATGAATTGGGTCAGGCCCCTCTCAACTCGTCCAGATTGTCAAAACGTCTCCCTATCAACTCTTTCTTTAACCTGGGAAACAAGGCGAAGTCACACGGGGAAAGATCAGGCAAATATGGTAGATGACTGAGTACTTCTGCTCCAAGCTGGATTTGAATGGTCAGCTGTGTGTCCCGGGCACGGTGAGCAGGTGCATTGTCTCGCCAGGCGTCTTCCCAAGATTTACACAGAACTGTATAACTGTCCGAAGTTTTGCTGGATCCGTGACGTTCATTTTTGGTTAAGCTGTTTTTAGCACCTGTTCTTTAAAGCATGAGTGTAAAATAACCGCAACTTCGAAATGTCTTCTGATACTGACAGAATGACATCATACACATCAAAACAACGTTATTATAACGTTTCCCGCAATTTTCTTTGTTTGCACAGGTTTTACATGTGTTTAAACGAGATGAAAACGTTTACATCACAGAGAAAAAGTAAGCTGCGCCGCGATTTTGATACTTAATGTTTTGATGTTGTCATATATAGATAAAAAAATGCAATTGGTGTTTTAAAATTTGGTCAATTTATTAAAAAGGCATTGATTAATAATATCGAAAGAGTTCACCTCGGTAGGACGTCACTTTATGGAGATACACACATTGTCCACGAATTTATAGATCACCCCTCGTATAACACATCAGATGAACATCCTTAAATTATGAGATTCAAACGTAATACTTTGTATCTCATTTGAGTATGATATTTTAAAAAATAATGTTGTTTTAAAATGATATTGATTTGGTACTCTCTTATTTGGTTAAATCCGTAACAAGTAAAAGACATTCCTTCCAGAAAATATGTCAATACAAAGCAGTGACTTTATAATTAACAGAAGAAATGTCTGTTGTAGTATGCTCTATGGTCATTCTTAAAAGCTGTCTCGGAGTAAATTTATTGACTAGGGCACTGCAATGTTTTGGTTTTTAAAAAATGAGAAAATAGATTCCACCCGCCATTAAAAACCGTGACTAGTGACAAAAGGTATGTCAAATCTATTTAATTTTAAAAGGCCGTATTTAGTTTATACAAATTTATCTTTAGTTTGATTGTGTTTGAAGCTATATTGAATCACTCTCGAATCCGTTCATGGGAACAATCAGTACTAAGCAATGAATGTAAAGTTTTTTGCTCAAGGAAACAACGGCTTGGCCCTGACAGGGTTTGAACCAAAGCAGTCAGCAAACCTTAGATTATTAGTCCGACGCGTTAACCACTCGGCCACGCCGCCACTATTTTACACATTAAATTGATTTTTAATATCGATGGCCTCTCATACCAACGTTTATCACGGACGGTTATATGAATATTAGACCCAATGACTGAGGCCACGGAGAAAATTGGCCTTGACCGTCTGACAATGGAACCATCGACACCTAAAGTTCCAATCCGATTGTTTTCTTGTTGAATTAAGCGAGCTGGCAAACCTATCTGTGTACTTTTTTTTTTAATTATTTACATCGCATATGTAAATGTATATAAAATTTTAAAATTCCGTCTTCTGTTTTTTTTTATTCTTTATTTTCTTTTTTCGAATTAGAATGTAAAATGATATTACGGGTAAAATAGAAATCAGACGGGATTGTTATCCTTAAAATATACAAAGAAAGTTTTATCTGTGTGAAATTATCATTTGCTCGGTAAAGGCCTTAAAGCAGTTATTCGTTTGACACAGTTGTTTAAAATCTAAAGCTACTGTTACATATTGAAAACATTCTAAAAAAAAATAAAAAAAACGTTTCAGCACATTCAAAATACTTTTGAAATAAGAAAGTTTAGAAATTTTGTTGAGTCGGCGTCTAAGATGTGAAAACGTAAACGTTGATAAATAAATACATGAATAAGGTACTTACATTCTACAGGTTTCAGGTAAAATATCTTCTAGCTCCCTACCGTTTTATATATTTATTTCTTAATTCCAAGTAGTACGTCCTCCTCAATTCTTCTGTTTAACAATGTGTGGTGATATTAACTCACATTATTTATAGTTATACGACAAAGGCACACTATGTGTTTGACAAAGATTGGTCGAACTAACTGTCCGATAATAAAAATTTCAATGCATACTGAGACAATTATTTGTCAGACAACTGTAACAATAGTTTACAATATGTTCAAATATATTTTATCAGACGACATATGTTCTTGTTTTTCATTTATATAATTTCAAATTTACATCAAAACAACAACTGTTGCTACCAAGCACGTGGGTAACTTTGAGCACTAGCTCAAATGTTGATCTAGAATTATACCAGGTATTTTATGAAAAAGTATAGTATACTGCATGTGTCTGCAGCCGATGATTCATCATAATAAAGGTGATTTAATGACTGATAAGTGTTTTTATGAATTTTTTTACATCATGCTCACAGCTTCCTTCAAACATTTTTTGAAAAGAAAAGAAAACTTAATTCAATAAATGCTTCTTGTCTGTGCAGCAAAAATAAATGTTTTGCTTAAGAGCTCAAAATTGTTGTATATTTTCTTCCCGGAATGGCGCCTCGTAGTGGTGTCTCCTCTATGCTCTCAAATTTAAGGGAGTAACAATTGTATGCAGTTTTTGTGATCGTTTGTATTCATTTGATGTAGAACGATTTACATAAGACTTACGTTCTTTTATTTGCTTTTATCTGAGAAAATTTTGAATTGTAGTCAAACAAATTCTTTATACAATATATCACAATTTGTTATGGTATATTGTTATGGTAAAATGTTATGATAAATTTGTGGTATGAAATAAGCATTATTCTCAACATGTTTGTTCCTGATTTAAGACGACTGGATACACAAGGTTCAATCATTTCAAATAGTTTGTACTTGATTTAAGACCGCCGCTTTACAAATATTTAATCGGTGAATAAACAACAACAAATGGTATGTTTGTAAAATGACACAGAAAATGTACAAGGTAATATAAACATATATTTTATTAACATGATAACGAGTTTTCGTTCACCAAAGCATCTGTTACCAATCACGAGACTGGCATGTGAAAATAAATGTACTGATCAGTTATATGTCAATACATCATACGATTTTTGAAATATCCTTGAACTAAACAAACTTTCCTTATTGTTGATCTAGTATTGTACCAAAGTATTTTATAACTATAAGTACTACATTGCATTATTCTATAATTGTTTTATTTTTCAATTTAATTACTGTCGGTTTTTAATGGTTGACACGGGAATGCAGTTATACCTTTATGTGGTGTATTTTCTTCCAGCAACCGTTTTAAGTCCTGCTCAATTGACGCTTGGCTTGTTGAAACTGTTTATTGTTTATGAAAGTAATTTAACACCAAGTATATTGAGTACTTTAATGTTCACACAGGTTTGCAAGGACTTATATAGGTAGCAAAGACATGTCTTTTTAATGTGTCTATAGCTCAAATAAAGCACATCTTCTCATTTCTAAAGAATAAGTATCCCCCTTTAATGTTAAGTAAACTACCATTTATAGCCCTTACAACACATTGTTTATGTATTGATAAAGATAAAAATTTGATGTATTTAACAAGGATCTTTACTGTTTGTGTAAGTGCGTTTATCAGTCTTAGTAATATCCCTAACTTGTTATCTGGAATTTTGGGGTTGTAACGGATTTTTACATCTAATAGCCAGCTGTGTTTCGCCATCTTGATTTCGTGATTAACGCGCTCATTGTTATTCTGTATAGGTATTCACCTGACAATAAATCCGTTTGCAATTTCTAAAAGAATGCTTGACCAATGAAAATTGTACACTCTGACAGAAATATACTTTCAATAAGAGCACTTAAAATGATGTAAAAAGTGCATACTGAACGCCAAATAAAGGTGTGACTCAACATTAAGTCAAACCCATCTCTAAAACGTATCATGACTGTCGACTTCAATATACCAGATAGTGATCTGAACAATGAACAGGCCATCGCACATTGAAAACATATGGACCTATAAAGACTTATAGTTTATTGAAAACATGTTAAATAAATGTCTTGGCGTAGTGTATCATGCAGTTGAAATTAAAAGGAGGGCCGATTTAACGTAAAACATCATGCAATAGAAGCGGGCTAATTTTGCAAAAGATAGAAATCGGGAACTTTTTTCAACCAATGGAATGCCTCTAAAACTATGCTCAACTAGTGGACTCATCAAAACAACAAACCGGAAGCTTCTTTTGACGATTAAATAGAGTGACATTGCATATTTTAGCTTTGTTTAACATAACAAAACCGTAAAGTTTATTTGCTCTTGTTTACGAACACCCTTCTGATTAATCAAATGCACTAAAAACCAGTTCCAGCAGTTATGTCACGCCCTTACTCCCTTTCCTAAATCAGAATTCTTTAAGTTTGGTAAGCCCCCCCCCCCCCCTCAAATAACCTCCTCAACTTAACATAACTATTTACTGAAAAGTCGCTCTAAGAAAGAACTGTACCTTCAGATACCTCGATTCTCTGACACAGATATCTCTTAATATTGAAAAATCAACTACAATTTCCCGAGAAAGTCCCTAAGTTTAACGAAAAGAACGATCGACAAAGGCAAACCAAGTTATAAACCCAGCAAAAACAGGCCAATATTACTTTCTTGTATTGTGTCAAAAATTACTAAAATAAATCATAGCCTCAATCATGGTGTGCTATTTTCATTAATGATATACGATGATGTATTTAGCGTATTCAGATCTAAAAGAGAATGTTTTCAATGAAACTAGGTTTCACATCTAAACAATGGTCAACAAACTGATGTAAAAGTAATGGGCTTCAGGTCAACAATCATAAACTTATCTTTACAATCCTAACATACTGTTTTAACTGGGTTAGGTTATTTAAAATTGTTCAATTTTTCTTCAAATGTTTAATTCTTTCAAACGAGAAACACTAAAACTGGTTTTTCTTTTATACTATTACTGTTTATCTGAACAAAACAAGAAATTTAATAAAAATTTACTTTAGCAGACATTTTTCTAAGGTAATCCCTATATCCAATATATAATAAAATGTAGTAAAATAGAAAAGTGATCTATTTAATGAAACAAACACCTAAAACTGCACGGAACATGTCATCAAAGGTTTTGTAGCCTTTAAAAGTAAACCCATCACTTCAAAGCCTTGTGCATCTCTAACTGGTAGAAGTACTTACGTGGAAGATATTTTAAGCTTTTATACCCGCTCTTTGATTTAGCATAGCGACTTCGCTTCTGTCGTTATCGTAAGGATTGAAAAAGAAACCCAAGTATCTATTTGGATTTGCATCACAATTTGTGAAAGTGTAGCCGACCTCGTTATATCCCTGTTTAAATTTACGTCTAGCAATAGACACTGGTAAGAATCCAAGATATATGTAAGGACCAACTGATGCATCATAACCAATATTTGGTACTCATCGTTACATCGTATAGATTAGTACCTTTGTACTAGCGTTTTGTAATACAAAACCGGTTTTATGTACATTCATTGTTCGCTCGAATGATTCGAGCTGTATTTAATCGGGTTTTTTCATATTCGAAAATCAGTTTCTAGCGAGCAACTCTTAGGGACACACACATTCAAATTCAATGCCAAAACTATTTTGTGATAAGTACAATTTTAAAGGTGTACAAGTTTTGCCTTAAAAATGTATTGTTTAAATTTTAACGCAACCATAGTAAAGACATTTTACATCGCTTTGTATAAATGTTTAATGCTTTGCAACAATGAGGCCCAACATTCAGTGGTATTTGACAGTCACTTTCCTGTAATGGCAAATGGGCACAGGTTTCCAAAAATATTTTCCCTTAAATAACACTGAAATCAATTCAAAAACTTTAAAAGGATTTTTTTTCCTGGACAAGTCGACCACGATTTGCAAAACATTTATATGACAGAGATAAAATTTATTAACAAATTACGATATTTATTGCTTTATGCTATATTTGCACGTGTATTATGTCATCTTGTATAGTGTCCCTAAATACAAGCGTTCTCGCTTATTGCATTTGAGTGTTTAAGTAGCTATTTGTAGAAGTTTTGTAAGAAATAAGGTGGTACCATTTGAGTTGAACTGCACATTAAGTAGTACGAAAAAATGTGAAGAGATCTGCTTCATAACAGTATAATACTGATGACCATTTGATCACAAATGCCTTACTTATACTCAGGAATGAGTTTCCCTTAAAGCGTGCGAAATCGGGCTTTGCAGCATCTTCTTTGGATATGAATGAGTATGCATAGTTATAATGAAATTCGCAATACACTTTGTACATTGCTCTCCTGGGCTATTATAGTTCGAATATTCCCCACTTTTTCTTTCATCAAGTTTAAAATCTTTACATGAACAGGAAGCTTTCACAAGACATTAAAAATCACAATGAAATCACCATTTAAAACATCAATTTTTATATTATAAAGTTAATCATGCTATTCCAAACTCATTTTTAATGACTATTTCATCAAATATAAAGTCTTTCCAAACACCGATTATTTCAAAACTTAATTTTAAGGCTCCGCTTGATTTTTTCACACACGCGCGCATGCACGCGCACACACTCAAGAAAAACACGTTAAACGGACCTTTCTTACATAATAAAGATAAGAATTCTTGTACTAGTGAATACAATACTTGAAAACAATTTATTCTATTGACACCCGTATCAAATGTTCATGAATTGCTCCGAGCATTTGATATCATTTTGTTCAATCATCGTACAAATAACTGCAATAAAGTTGTTTTTTTTTGTTCATTAACGGGGAACGGGGGTCAGGGGTGTTGTTAGTTCTGTTGTCATGGTGGTGCTCCAACACAGCTAGGCTCATATTGTTCGGTAAATTATTATATTGTTATAAAAGACAATAAAGTGATAATGATTGATAATATTTTACCATACTCTTTACTCATATTACTAATTGATTTTTCAAAGCTATCAATGGAGATCTTATTTAATTACAAAAAGGGACCTTTATTGACTTTTACATTAATAATTAATGTAATTTCCTATTTGGTTATACACTCTCAAAGCATGTTCATCGGATTCAACAAAAGGATTTATTAAAAAAAA